ACACACACACACACACACACACACACACACACACACACACACACACACACACACACACACACATCACCCAATGTGCAGCACGAGTTTGGGCGAAGTGGTTCATTCAGTGTCTGAGGAGAACACATGAAGCTGCATTGATTTACTGCTCCAACATATTAAAGCTCTTGATGCTCTGGTGAAAGGGTTCGACCCCCCGTCCACGCTGCACATCCCTCCACTCCTCAGCTACCTCTTCCTGCAGCTCTCACCTTGACAGTGAGCGTGAATCCTGCAGAGTAGAGCGGGTTTTCTCTGTCCAGCTGGCCGTTCACCGTCAGGGACCCGCTTATGTAGTCCAGAGCGAAGACGCTGTTGGTGTTTCCTACACGGGACAACAGAGAGACGGAACGAGTTAAACTAAAGTGGTCATTTAGATAAATCAGCAGAACCTCTGGTTTATGTAAAAGTGGGCAGGAAGGAGGTGGACGTGTACGTTTCCGTTTCGTGCAACGTGCAGAAAGCTTGAGCTGTGTTGCATTTTGTCTCTGCTGAGTAGGCAGAGCACCTTCCGTCTGTCCAGGAACGGTTTCTGCAGCGCCGTTTTTCTCTTTGTTCATATTGAAATGTTGCTTCAGCCATGCGCTCACATTCGATTTACCGAGAGGTCAACCATCATTTATGTGAGACGGTCAAGAATAAAGAAGCGGTACACCGATGTCCCCGTCACTGAGGGATTTTTGAGATAAGTGTTTCTCTGCACTGGAGTTGAACAGGGAATGACGTAAACCTAAATGTTTTTGGTGCGAGATGTCCGAGTGGGCAGGAGTTGCACTGTGGAGAAGAACAGAGGGAGGTTGGTGTTCTTGTCCAAGGCAGCGCAGTGACAGATCATGATGAGTGAAGGGAGCAGTTTTAATCACAACCAAGCCCAATGGAGGAGCCAGGGGGTGGCCAATGGTGGCCTTGGCCACCTTAAGATTAATCATCAGCCACCCCATTTTAGGAAACTATACATTTAAGCAGAATAAAATCTAGAAAGCATAGTTTCCTCAAGTTATATACAAATATTAAATTCTTCTCATCCATCTTTTTTTTTTTTCTGCTTGCTCTCGACGAAAGCCCGTCCCTGCTTTGCCCTTTGTCTTGTGAACCCTTTTCAGAGCCCCTTTTTGCTTACCTTCTGAATTGTAAACTATGGATTTGTTCAACTGGTCTCTCAACGCAATTGATCAAATTTTCTCAACAAGACGACAGGGTGAAGGAGCGCCCTCTTACCTTGGAAACATAAATGGATTTATGATAACTGGATTCTGCTTTTTGGAGTTGGTGGAAATCTGGATTGTTGACAAATGTGGAAACATCAGCAGCTGTTTAAGCTGTCTGGAATGTGTGTCCTGGGCTTGGCAACACTCAGACTGTGCGCAAACTATCTGTGGACCTGTATAAGAGCGGAGCAGGCAGGACTGTGAACTTTGTGGCACTGTTCACGAACAGTTGGAAGGAAAAGATCTAAGAGAAGTTGTAAGCCCGACGTAAGTAATCCCAATTCAACTGTTTGGAGTCGCCATGAGATGAGATGTACTAGAGAGACTGTTAAAGGCAGATGTGGAAATTAAAAAGCTCGGCCTGACCCAAAACAATGTTGAAATCTGAACCTGGCTCTAGCATTGGAAGGCGGACTAGCTCGATTTCTCCTTGGATGTTATGGAAACAAGACGCTCTGATCTCCTCCTCACCCCCTCCTCACCCCCTCCCAAAGGACACGGAACAGTGTCAGAGCTCAACCGTGCTGGCTGTTAAATAACACCTCTTCTCCTCTTATCCCGCTACTGACAACATTAAAAATGTGGGTGGGATAGGTGAAGCACCCACACCTGCCCCCACCATCATTTGCCCCACTCTGGGCCCCTGAGCAAGGCCCTTAACCCCCACCATCTGCTCGCCCAGGCGCCCTTGATGGCAGCTCTCTGCTCCACACAGGGCAGTGGCAGCTCGGTGGCCTGTGGTTGCGTCAGGAAGAACATCCAGCGTAAAATTAATCACCGAGTCTTCATGTGATTTAGTTCGCTGTGGCAACCCCTGAAGAAGAGAGCAGCCGAAAGAAGAAAAAATATTTATATACATGTTCTCACACATACATCAGTTAAAGATGGTATACAGTGTTGTGCTTTCTGGTACAAGGAATTCCATGAACTTTCACCCCATCTACAATGTAAAGTAGAAATACGTAAAAATGATGTTATACGCCCTTTAATCAATTTGGGCATCTAGATTTAATCCCCTAAGCACATCGATACACAGCTGCTTTACCAATATCAATATCTGATCAGTATCACACCCCTGATGTACAAGTACATAAACAAGGCTGCGTATCTGCAGTATTTGCTCACAGCACGTTGATCATGAACCACATCACTTTCTATGATGACATATGTTAAGTCAATGCAGCGCTTATGGACAGGAGTTTTTTTAATTAGTAACACCGGACTGTCCTCATTAACAAGTTCAGGAGTGCCGCTCACTCACCCGCTTCAATTAACTGCATAAAATATCAGATTATGGCCCACTTGAGTCCTCTCCTCATATTTTCTCATCCCCTCTTCTCCTTCACAAATTAGCATCTTGTTAACTTCCTCTGCTGCCCACACTCCTCCTCCCCGATCGCTCTGAGGCATCACGAGGCCATCGGCTGCTTAATTACACCCAGCACAAGCATGAAACCTCTCCCCTGTACATGATTTTTGTTTCTCCTCCCTCTGTCAGCTCAGGTGAATTGAAAACGCTCAATGACCTTTAATTTTCATTGTACTTTTTGAAAAATGAAGCTCTTGTGTGACGTTTGACCCTCGGGTAGGATCGTTAGCGAATCAGGCTAAAGGCAAATATTTGAGCCGACAAAGGGAGTGAGAGACTTGAAACGGATTCGCCTCTGCCTCGTTAATCCAGAACGCTACAAACTGCTGACAACAGCGAATTCTCAGCGTTCACCAGACTCATTTAGGTACAAATCATATTCACAAATAGACGCCTAGCATGCACGTCACCCTCAGCAGCACATGCCACAGTTTCAGACTGGGATTTATCCATGTTGGGGAATGACGGAGTTGTATTTATATAGTATAGTATTTAAATAGTAGGATATAGTTGTAACTATACTCAGTCCTCTTCTCTTATTTATACCTGCTGCCAGTAGGTGTAGCTGCTCGACATCCCTTTTTATGCCGATGACTGTCAAATTTACTTCCCTCTGAAGCACAACGCTGCACCTCCTCTCGACTGCTTGGCTGACATCAGGGACTGGATGGCTTTAAGTTTATTAAATTGTAATAAGAAGAAGACTGAAGTCATGGTGTTGAGATGGGGTAGAGGTAGGGCAGCCGACTTGGAGCCAAAAACTGCGAGTTCGACTACCCGCCATGCCTAAATGTCGTGGTGTCTTTGAGCAAAACGCCTAATCCCAAATTTCTCCCTGGGCGCTTCCAGAGCTGTCCACTGCTCCACCTGGGTGTATCTTACCTGTGATGGGTTAAATGCAGAGAAATAATTTTATCATTTTGTTGTATAGGAACATATAATGATGACACATAGCACTTATTGAGATTAACCTGCACAAATAAAGGTTGAAGAATCAGGAACCACCGTATCGACCTTTCCTCTCTAACTCAGTTTGAGAAACAGGTTGTCACTAATCTGGGAGAGACAATGGACTCATCCATGAAGCTAAACTGTCATGTAAACACGACGGTTAAATCCTGTAGTCTTCAGTTGAGGCGACTGTATAAACTGAAGCCCACACTGTCCAAAATAAATTATGTTATTTACTTTTTTTATATCTTGTACAATTCCTTGTGTATGTTCCTTTGTACTGAAACTTTGGCACAACAATTTCCTACTGGATCAATAAAGTTCTATCTTATCTTATCTTATCTTAATTCATGCTTTCATAGCATCCAGGTTTGTTTACTGCAATGTTCTTCTTTTTGGAATCAGTCAGAACCTCCACTGCACGTTTACAACTGGTTCAAAATGCTGCAGCCCGATTTTTAACTACAGGCAAAACAGCACTCCAGTTCTGGCCTCCCTTCACTGGCTCTCGGTTCACTTTCAAAATTTATTTTAAAATCCTTCTATATGTTTTTAAATCTCTGAACAGCTCTGCCCCCTCTTATCTCTGATCTGCTGCAGCCATATGTCCCACAGCGCTCTCTGAGGTCAGCAGACCAGACGCTTTTACTGGTTCCAGGCAGTCGTTTGAAGCTCAGAGGTGACAGAACCTTCTCTGCTGCAGGTCCAAGTCTGTGGAATGAGTTACCACTGCATGCCAGACGGGGCCCCTCTCTCACTGTTTTTAAATCACGTTTAAAAACTCACTTATATTCCCTGGCTTTCGATCCAGTGTGAGTTAATTTGAACTTGTCTGTATTCTGTCATTTAGTTGTTCTCTATGTATTTTATCCTGTGTCCTTTGCTCGTTTTGTTTCTACAACACTATGGTCGGCCTTGTTGCCGTTTTTAAGAGCTTAATAAATAAAGTGGTATGGTATTTTGTCCAAATCTTAAAAATAACGTTATGCACATGCTTAGAATATATGTTGTGAGGAACTCTCAGCTACTACCTTTTCCCAAATTTATCTCAAAACCGTTATTTTGACTAAATTAGCATTTCTACCTTTGTTTATTATCCAAGCCCACATCTGGGTTTCCGCCCTACGTCTCTTTCAAAGGAAGCACAAAGAGCCCTGAGCTGCATTTTGATGGAGTAAGAAGAAATCTCTCAGTTTGTTGTAAACGTTGAGGTCTGAGCTCCAGAGGAACACGTTCTGATGGCGGGTCCACGGCGTACAACAGCTACGGGTCAACATATTAACCCGTGCCTGTGTTGTGCACGTCCCACTCCCTGCACTGTTATTGCCCTCCACCTCCTCTGGAAGCAGAGGAGGAGTGCTGCAGAGGCAGAGGTGGAGAGGAGATGGAGGGCCGGAGGAAAAAAGAGCAGAGCCTGCGGGTAATTAGGCTGGAAGGAGACCAAAAGGTGGGGAAAGGAGCGCAGGGGACAAAAACTACAGCTGATTAGGTCCAGTTTATTTAAAGCGTACCGAGAGAAAAACGGACCTGAACACATCGCAGAGCTCCTGCTTGGCTCATGGCAGAAACATGACGAAACAGAAAGACTTTTAGATGACGAGAATACGGTTTATCTTACAAACGTAGGTAAATTAAAGACAATTAGAGAAATTGCATTTCCTGCAAAAATGCAGAATGCTTACTGCAGAAAAACAGCTGAAATTAGCTGAAAAAAAAACGTGCTGCAATGTAGATGAAATGGAAGAAGTCAAATTTAGCATAAAAAAGCAGAAAGAACAAATATTTGCTGAATTAGGT